GAAATAAAATCTGGTTCACTAATGTCCTTCAGGGAAGGAAATCTACCATCCTCACCCGGACTGGCCTACATATGTCTCCAGATACTACAACAACATAGTTCAATCCAATTATGTTTGGGCAATAAATACTGACCAAGCCAGCAATGTGCACATCCCACAAACATTTTTTTTTTGTTTTAAGAAGCATTTTAACAACATCTCTTCCAATTCTGGTTTTGTGCAGTTAGAATTTCCAGCTTTTCTTTTTGTTTTTTGATCTCAAATGTCCTTCACCTCAGGAGGTTAGCTGCCAGCCCATGAGGCGGGAGGCTCTTCTCCGACAACCAGAGGTTCTTAAGAGCTTAACTACATAAGAAATGGGAGCTGGAGTAGGCCATTCAGCCCCTCAGGCTTGCACCCCCATTCAACAACATCATGGCCAATCTGATTGGGGTGTCAACTACTCTTTCCTGTCTACTTGCAGGGCACTTAACTCCCTTGCTGATCAAAAATCCCTCAGTAGAATCAATGATGCAGTCTGCACTGGTGTCTAAGGAAGAGAATGTGAAACACAAATGACCCACTGAGAAAAAAAAATCAAAATCCTTCTTATTTCAGTCTTAAGTGAGAGACCCTAATTGTTAAATGTCATCACTTAATCCTGGACTCCCCCATAAGGAGAAACATCCTCTCAGCATTCATCCTGCTTAGTCACCTCAGAATCTTATGCGTTTTGATAAAATCACTTTCGTTCTAAGCGCCAATAGAATCCTAGAATAAAGGAATGGACGTCACAAATGATCCACATTCTGGCACTGATTGGCTGGACAAAAATATAGGAGAAAACATTTTCACTAAAGGTGGACGATGGGATGTTTCATGTCCAGCTGGTTCTAAACCCCACCCATTCAACACTCCCTATTCCATACCCTGTGTGCCTCACTGACTCCACACCTCCTGCATTCCACTGTCCACCCATGTTGGCATGGGTGCACCTCCAGCTCAGCGTGCATGTGCAACGACTGTACTTAATCCTTTCGTTCTGTTTTCCACCTGCAAAATGGGTGCACCATGAAAGAAACCTTGGAGTGCAGGTTCATAGTTCCTTGAAAGTGGAGTCACAGGTAGACAGGATAGTGAGGAAGGTGTTTGGTATGCTTGCCTTTATTGGTCAGTGCATTGAGTATAGGAGTTGGGAGGTCATGTTACGGCTGTACAGGACATTGGTTAGGCCACTGTTGGAATACTGTGTGCAATTCTGGTCTCCCTGCTGCAGAAAGGATGGTGTGAATCTCGAAACGGTTCAGAAAATATTTACAAGGATGTTGCCAGGGTTGGAGGGTGTGACCTATAGGGAGAGGCTGAATAGGCTGGGGCTATTTTATCTGGTGCGTTGGAGGCTGAGGGGTAATCTTATGGAGGTTAATAAAATCATGAGGGGCATGGATAGGGTAAATAGCCACGGTCTTTACCCCAGGATGAGTGAGTCAAAAACTAGAGAGCATAGGTTTAAGGTGAGAGAGGAAAGATATAAAACAGGGGCAACTTTTTCACACAGAGAGTGGTGCGTGTTTGGAATGAGCTGCCAGAGGAAGTGGTGGAGGCTGGTACAATTACAACATTTAAAAGGCATCTGGTTGGGTACATGAATAGGAAGGGTTTAGAGAGATATGGGCCAAATGCTGGCAAATGGGACTAGATTTATATCGGATATGTGTTTGGCATGGACGAGTTAGACCAAAGGGTCTGTTTCTTTGTTGTACGTCTCTGTGACTGTATGAGTGAGATTCCTTTGGGATTAAGGGAACTGTTCCGGAGACTGAGCCAGTCATTCCCATGGATGCAATCCCGGGAATGTCTTTATGTAGCGAACACTGTGCCATATTTCTTGGTGCTGGTTAGCTGAAGGCCAGGCCCCAGACTGGCCAAGGCTCATGACTGGCTTGAGCTGGTGTTTTAACACTGAAGATGACGTTGACTTCAAAAGGGGCGGCTGATCCCACCAGCAATGACTGCCATCAACCAGAATTCAGCAGACGATGCAGCGCTTGCTGTGCAGGTTCTGTGCAATTATATCACCTGAAAAGCTGCAATTTTCCAGAGGAATGTTTCCCTTCAGCCACCCTTTAACAAGGGAAACATTCATTTCAGTTGTCTTTCCCTTTCTGTCTATTTTCTGGCCATATTTTAACAACAGTGCTTGCACAACCTGTTCCTCCTGCAGCTCACCTCCAACACAGACACGGTCCTCATTTCTTACAGGCTCTCACGTGCGCCGGGGTGTTTATTTTTCGAGGTTTCTCGCACTACTTAATGTTTTGACTCCCAATTTCGGTGCAGTGACAAATTTACTCGGGGAAAGAAACTGGAAGAATGAGGGGACAAGTTACACTCAGGCAGCTCCGCAGCCACCCAAGGGAGACAAAAAAAATGGAAGCAAAATGGCACAGACAATTGTTTGGATCTTCTTTGTTTTCCACGTAAAACAGTCTTCCTTAACATGAATCCATTGTGGATTGTCAGGAAAACCCATCTGGTTCACCAATGTCCTTTAGGGAAGGAAACTGCCATCCTTACCTGGTCTGGCCGACATGTGGCTCCAGACACTCAGCAATGTGGCTGACTCTTAACTGCTCTCTGGGCAATTAGGAATGGGCAATAAATGCTGCCTAGCCAGAGACGCCCTCATCCCATGAATGAATAAAAAGAATCATGAACAACAACAAAATACATCTCGAGGTAACACACTGTATATATGTATATCATGTTATTGGGATACATGAACACCACCAAGGAATTTTATATTTCATCCAGAATGTTCCCCCAATTCTATTACTTTATAAACCACAGAATTATACAGCACAAAGACAGCCATTTGAGATATGCATTAGCCTCATGCTTTTGCCTTTGAGTGTTCAATCAATTGTCTTCTGAAAATTATTATCAAATCTCCTTTCACCAAAATTTCAGTGCATTTCAGGTCAATACAGCCCACTGCATAGAATGTTTTTTTTTCTCTTCTTGCAGCTTCTGGTGCTTTTGCCAGTTGCTTTACATCAGCTAAGACCCCAGCTGTTGAGTACCGTATCCAATTCCAGTCACAGCGGTTTTGGCCCAAGCCTTAGATGATGCAGAGATTTACCGGAGTGCTACCACGAATATGTAACTTTGGTTCTGAAGAGGAGCTGGGGTTGAAAGCATTGTTGATTGAGACAAGATTTAACTGGGTGTTCAACACCTTGAATGATTTTTTTTTTGTAGAGTACATAGTAAACTGTCCCAATGCAAGACCATCAGTAACCAGGGGATACAGTCGTATGGTAACAGGCCAAGAAGCAGAAGTGAGATGAGGGGTTTTAATCCTTTTTACACCGACTTGGAAAGTGGAAGCAGACTAAATATGGAGTTGGATAATTAATTGATGGCGTCGTGATTGGCAGGGTTATAGGGAAAGGGCAGGGCTGTGGGACCAAAGACCCAGCAGAGGAACAATGGGCTGGATGGCCTCTTTCTCTGCACTATCATTCTGTAATGTTAGGCAAAGGCTTCTTTGTGGAACTCTGTGAAAATGCACTTCAGGAATCAGGACAGATGAGCCATGATGCCAAGAAAAGCCTTCCCATTCTCATCTTCGCTCCAGACAAACAGGGATCTATTTAACAGTCTCACTGATAAAAAGGTTGGGTTGGAGGTGCAGAGTGCCCTCAGGACAATGTCAAGTGCCAACTCCCACACCCCACCCCACTCCAGAGCCGCGAATGTTATGACACCTCAAATGTTCACCCAAATACTTTTTGAAAGGTTTATGAGGTTTCCCCCCTCAACAACCCTTGTAGGCAGCACATACCAGAGCCCCACCACCCTCTGAGTGAAATCATTTTTCCTCAAATCCCCTCCAAACCCCCTGCTTTCCATTTTAAAGTTCTGCCAGGAGGTCCCAATCAACTCCCACCTGCTGTAGAGATGTGTCATGACGGGGTGGTTGAAAAAAATACTTTTCTCATTGGAAATCACACAGAGTTTAAAAGCTGTTCTCTCAATACCTAGCATGTTATAAACCCTTTGTAACTTATCATTTAACAATGAGTCTGCAACAACTTCAGCTAAAAACAATAATTGAAAAACAAGCAAACTAGGTTAGGGCTGTAACATGGCAAATGTCTGACAAAATTGACATTTTTAACGGACATCTTTGCTTATAGGGAACAACTTTGTTTATAGGGAACATCTTTGCTTACAGGGAACATCTTTGCTTACAGGGAACAT